AATTTCTCCTGTAGCTCATGGAAACAGCTTTTTCTATCAACCAATAGAAAAATTCACTCTACTGTTATCAGGACAAAACACAGTGTTGTTCGAGCCATATGAAAGAGGGACCCTACAAACCCTATAATCGGCTCGAACAACACTATGTTTTGTCCTTATAATAGCGGAGTAGATTTTTCTATTGGTTGATAGAAAAAGCTGTTTCCATGAGCTACAGGAGAAATTCACTCTACTATTATAAGGACAAAACATGATGTTGTTCGGGCCATATGAAAGAGAGTCCCTACAAACCCCATGATCGCCTCGAACAACATTATGTTTTGTCCTTATAATAGTGGAGAAAATCTTTCCTGATTCATTTTTATACCTAAATTAAAAATTTAAATATCACCCTCTAGGCAAGCCAACAGCCGCTAATATTTAAACCTTGTTAGTTTGGCGGTGAGAGCTTTCATTTGACCCGAATATGTGCCATCGTTTTAAGTTACAGTACAAACACCTCCATTGTAAGATGAGGTTATCTGGCAGAATCGTATCAGTGCATGCCTGATAGAAGTTTTTCTCAATTCTTTCAAAGTTCTATAGTTTTTCAAACCAAAGTATCGTAATAAGCGCGATTTAGTGTATCAATATTAAGAAGAGGAAAGCGCTTATGACAGATGAACCTATGAATGAAAAAAGTAGTGCAATGAACGCATTACTCACTGTATCTGGTAGTATGGAACTGGTTAAGTATAAAAGTCAATTTGGGGTTTGTCCATAACTATTATAGCTCGTGTCAAAGTTCTCAGGCAGTTCGAAAACTTGAATGCATCGAATAGTGTGCACTCCTGTGCTTGTAAGCGAATCATATCGTAATTACAGTGCAAAAAAGAGTTGATTGCAATAAAAGCTCACCTTCAAACAAGTCATTTGCGAAACTAATCAAAAGCCCAACAGGCTTTATCTTCCGTGGGCAAGAAGAAAGAGTAGTTCAAATTGGCTTCCAATTTCGATTAAAACTCTAACTTTTTGTGATAAAGAGATAGAATTCTAAATCCATCTGATTATTCTCTAAAGCGTATAGAAATTGTCAATGGTATCACGGAGCGACGATAATTAGAGAAAGGAACTTCGGACGTGGGTATGGATATATCGAACTTACAAATTCGAGCAGTAAAGTCAACAAAATTGCAGAGTGAACTATTTTGTTTTTATTTTTGTCGGTGAAATTCGATACATCAATTTGTCAGATGTTAGCCAAATAGATCAAGTAGTTTATGAAAGATTTGTCTGATACCGCCTCTCTCACTGGATTATTCATGCAAAATCTGAAGTAGGTGATTGTTCACTTGTCAGTTATTCAGACCACTAAGAAAATTGCGAAAAAACATATGCACTGCCTAAAAAACTTATTGTTCACTAAAACCCTCTACGTTCGCGATGTCGGTTACAAATGTCGACGAATCCTATTGAGATAACTTTCGTATCTTTGAACTTGAGCGTGGCTAGGTCCTAGTGCTTCGCGACCAATGTCAACAGCGCGTTGAGCATATTCGACAGCTGATTGATATTCTTCAAGCCCTTCGAATGCCATCGCCATGTTATTATAAGTCGTGGCCAAAGAAAGATGATTAGCTGGCAGAGATTTTAGTTCGATATCGAGTGTTTTTCGATAGAAAGCAAGCGCAGTCCAACTGTCTCCCATGGAATCATGCACAGCACCAATGTTGTTGTAGGTGGTAGCCAAAGATAGATGGTTTGATGGGAGAGAATTTTGTTGTATTTCAAGTGTTTTTTTATAAAACAAAAGTGCATTTGTGTAATCTCCCATCGCATCATATACTGCACCGATGCAATTGAAAGTAGTCGCTAATGATGGATGATTTGCAGGAAGAGCTTTCTTTTGAATTTGAAGTGTTTTTTCATAGAAACTAAGAGCTTTCGAGTGGTCTCCAATGTCTCGATGTACGAGACCTATGCAATTGAATGTAGTAGCAAGTGATAAATGGTTTGAAGGAAGAGCTTTTTCTTGCATTTGAAGAGCCATTTCATACAACTTTAGGGCTGTTGAGTAGTCTCCTTTATCTCGATGTACTTCGCCAATATTAATATACGTGGTGGCTAGCGATGCATAATTGGGAACGAATGACTTTTCTTGAAGTTCAAGTGTCTGTTGATAATAAGAGAGCGCTTTTTCCAAATCTCCTTTTTCTTTGTATATGAATCCGAGTTGATGATAAAGATCGGAAATTTGTTGGCAATCGTCGCCTGATGATGCATCGAGTAATGCATTGTAGACTTTTTCAGCCTGATCGAATTCGCCCATCGTAATCATTAAACGACCAAGTCGGTACCATCCTGTCGATCCAGAAGTCTCTTCTCTCATGTGCTCAGTAAGATGTTTCAACTGCTGATCATTGTCACTTGTCAGAGTAAGGGCAACTCGCCAAAGTCGATCCTCGATTTTTTCCATCGTGCCAATACGAAAGACAGTATTCATTGAGAAAAGAACTTCCTTTTCCTTGTCAGAAAAGTAACTGTTAGTACCCAAGAAAGCAAAAGGAGTCGATGAGACTGCAGGATCTATTCGCATTTCAAACAGAATCCCGAACGCATAAGGATTTTCTAGAGCATGTCGTGCGAAACTGAGAGACACTTTTTGATCAGTACTCGTAGAGAGAAAGCTATTAAATGATAAAAGGCCACCTTTACTCTTTTTCATTTTCTCGAATTCATTTTCCATCATTCCTTGACCACGATAAACAGTCAATGGGCCTGATTTATCATTCATTTTAGCATGAAGATTTTGAATCTGTTGATGCAGGTCTCGTATAAAAAATCCCATCTTTATGATCACTTCAATATCTAGTGTTCTCAAAGCTCGATTTAGCATTGAGTAGGTAAAGCATTCACGCGTATACCACCACACAGGTGAATGAAGATTATAAGTTTGATCGAATTCATCAATAACATTCAACTCAACAGAGTTGCCTGAGTACTGAATGCGACAAAATTCCATCAGCTCTCTTTTCTCCTTAGTACTATGTTCAATCTCAAGAAGGTTCTCTTTGAGCAACTGTGAGTACATAAATGATTGATCAAGTCGATCTGAAGCCGATTCTGAAAAGTTCACTGTAGAAAGAATGCTAATTGATATCATGTCATTGTTACACTTTTTAATATCTTTTCTGAGCAAGCTACAAATTGATTCAATCTTGGTAAAGACTCCTTTTACTTTTTTGAATTCTTTTGCCCATATTTCATGCATTGCCTTGTGGCTACAAAAGACATATATTGAATCAAGCTGGGTCATTTGTTCAACTATAGGCACAACTTGTTGACCGAGTTTACCCGACACAACCAAAAAGACTTTTTCATCCTTGATTTGGGCAAGAAAACCAACACATTCGTGTGAATCGGTAAACGTATTAATCGTATTGACGATAGATCGAAGTCGACTAATCGAATTTTGATAATCTATGCTCGACTCATTCATATTCGAATCCAACCAGATGACGACGAAGTTCTCAATGTTACGAGCTCGTGGATGTCGTTGAAACTTGCCAGCATCTTGTTTGCTATTATTTTCAGTAGTAGATGAAGAAGATATTTTTTTGCCACTGTAAGTCTTTGATACAGTACTGGTCAATGACTTCAAACTTTTACTCGCCATACGTACCAATGATCAACAATGCATGTATCACTGTAAGATAAAGATAATAAATAATTTTAAATGTTCTCTCTTGCGTCTGATTCCTTCTTATTATTCTTTTACTATTGACACAAATACGCGCTTACGGAGCCTCGATTACGAACTACAACATAGCAACGACTCATCATGCTCGAAACTCTGCAGAACTGACAAAAAAGAAATAATGCGACGGTACACTTTCAGCTTTTTTCACGGCATACAAGTTTTTAAATAAATGACAATGAAAGCTCTTGTCAATACTTCTCCAAAGTAACTGTGGACAAAAGTTGTGTTTTCTGAATCTATTGTAAATTTATTTTCATTCTCTAAATAGAAACCGCTCACATTGAGCAGTAAAAAAAATGTTTTGTGTGTTGAAGATAGCAACCTCCAAAGAGAGAAACACGCCAACTTGAATTTTGCATCTCTATTTACCGACATCGCATGCGATAAAAAAAGTCTTCTACGTCTTATTGTGAATGATGGCTTCTACTTTAGAGACTGACACAAATTTACGCTTTCTCGATATTTGTGAAAAACCTTCCAAAACACTACAGTTACTGCAAGGATATGGTAATAAACCACTGGTGTCAATAGAAGAAGCAGTAAAACCCTTGTCACAACTTATCCATGATATAGAAACGCTAGCACATCAAGCAAAAGCTAATGTTCGTAATGTCAGTGGGGTTCTTACGACAGACGAATGTGCAGCTATTTATCTATATACGTTAAAATGTGCTGACAGCCTTGGTAGCCTGTATACCTTATTAAATAAAGCACTTTATCTTCACAATCAGGAAAACTTGAAACCGTGGCTTTCTTATCTGAAGTTATTGTTAACTGCATTATTCAAATTACCATCAATACAGTGCAGAGTATGGCGAGGAACTCGCCTAGATTTAAGTGCTACCTATAAGAAAGGGGAGTATTTATGTTGGCTGGGATTTAGCTCGTGTGCAAGTTCTATCGAATTGCTTCAGCTCGATCAATATTTGGGAACCAAGGGGTCTTGCACTATTTTATCCATCGAATGTTTCAATGGTAAAGCTATCCAATCCTATTCCTATCGACCCACAGAAGATGAGATATTGCTATTACCACGCACATATTTCGAAATTATTGATCTAGAAAATCAAAGGAACGGTGCAACCATCATTTATTTACGCGAACTAAAGCCTCCACACGTTCTTCTCGAGCCACCATTTCATCAAAGCATTCAGTTACCTACTCCGAAGGTCAAAGTCGATAATATTGCGATGATAGCTGGTAAGATACAATTATGCATCTATCGAGACTGAGAAGTCGCTGACTAAAATGAACTTCTATCTCTTGCAACAGTCCTCAGGACTCCATGAGACTTTTTTTGTAAACAGCTCAGCTTGGTCTCATGTGCTTATCTGTAAAACTGTGCAGACCAATCACTCCGAACAAAAACGATGTCTTTTAGTATCGTTCAAAAAATCGCAAAAGTGGAAATTTTAATCGAAACTCACCTTCACTTGACCCTATTCTTCAGTAATCGGCCTGGCCAATTGTACACATGCCTAAATGCGATCAAACTGAGCTGTTTACAACAAAGTAGGGTGTCCTTTCTATGATGATTATTATTCTTTTTCAGACATAATATACAATTTTACAGCTCACAAATCACTTTATAGCGATGAAATCGCGTCTCTATAAAATACAGCGAATGACTATTTCAAACGATTTTTTTGAGTAACTAATGTACTATATAGTCTTAGGAATGTAGGATCCGTTATGGAAAGGAACGTAGCTGAGTATTACGATCACCGTTGGATAAAATATACAGAATTAAGAGATGCCTTCTCTGAAAGTAAAACCAGACTAGCAGCATCCAGCAATACACAAGTTGAAAAAAACTTTCGTGCTATCCTATATATAATTTACACGTAGAACGCGATGGAGCCACTTCAATTACTATGTAATGTATAAACATGTTCTCCACCTGTGCGATCATTCGTGTCATTGTATAGGAAGTAGTACCTTGAGAGGTCTGTTGCGTCCGAAAGGGAAATAGTGGACTTCAAGATTTCATGAGAAATCAGACGACTTCAGCAATAGAGACTTCAAATTTTCAAAAAACTTCAAAAGACTCTAAGAGACTTAAAATACTTCAAAATATTTCATCACACTTCACATTAGGGGTGCAATGGTGACGATTAATCGTTCACCGTTCTCTCGTAGTTACCGAAGAGCGGTGAAACGATCCCCGGCGAAACGATCAACCGGTGAAACGATCCCCGGTGAAACGATCAACCGGTGAAATGATCCCCGGTTGGACCGAACAACCAGTGAAACGATAACCGGTTACACCGATCAACCGGTTGAACGAGGGTGTGGGTGTGGGTAGGGGTGGGAAGTTACCGGTACCGGAAACTGGGAACTTTTCCAAGCCCGCGTTCCCAGGAACAGTCAGAAGAGTGTCTACCGTCATCAAACCCGTAGCTTCCGTCCACAAGTCCTATTATTCGTGGGTACCTTTGGGGCCTCAAGTCCTAGTATTCGGAGTACCTTTCGGTCCGCAAGTCCCATAATTGGAGGTAGGGGTGGGAAGTTCTCATTACGTTCCCGGGGTACCCTGGGTCCACAAAGGGCCAGCAGTGTGG